ACGGGACGGCGGGGGCGAAGGAGGGGGGATCCTGCYCTCGGAGCACGCGCGGACGCCCAGATGTGCCCTCCAGATGTGACCCCCAGGCGTGCACATGCAGGCAGGCATGCCCCGGAGAGATGTGCATGCGCGCGCACGTGCACACGCGTGTCGCCATGCACATGTGTTTGYGCTCAGTTCCTCACACCGTGGTGTGCGTGCACRTGCACACACACATGCACACACGTGCATGTGCCCCCACACAGATGTGCACACGCTCTCAAGCAGATATTCAGGTGTGCACACAYGCACACCCCCACTCAGACACATGCCAAGTGCACACTTGTATGCATGCATGTGCATGCTCTCATGCAGAGACGTGTACCCACATGCACACACACGCACATGCCCCTTTGCAGACACGTATGCAGGCCCCCGCGGAGATACGTGAACATAAATGCACAGACATATCCCCCATGAAGATTCCAGTATCCATTGTGAATTCACCCATGTGTGCATGTATAACATGCATGCACACACATGTACATGTGTACACATCAACATGCTCACAAAGCCCAAGGAGCAGTGCAAGGGGATGCAGCAACACCTCAGTTAGCCATGTGTGCAAGGCCAGGCAACAACACAGGAGTGCACAGAATTCCCTAGGCACCGTTCTAGAAGGAGCTAGGATTTTCTTTCTAAGAAAAAGCTTTTTTCTTCTTGATGATTAAAAAAAAAATGTTGATAGAAAGTAGGGGGAATATATCTACATGAGTGTGAAAATTTGGCTCTTTTCCTACGCTGATGCAAATGAAAAAGTGATACACATTGGCACAGAGAAACTTGATATTTGATGCCTGATCAAATCCCTGCATCCTAACTCCCCAAGCTTTGCTAAACTTTTGGGAAAAAAAAAAAAAAAAGAAAAAAGAAAAAAAGACATAGATTTATTATTTTGCTCGTGTTGCCGGGTAATAGAATGAACAGGGAGGATGTAATAAGCAGAGAAGGAGCCACAGTGAAATTCTGGGCTGCTTTTACTGGGAAAGGGAATCCAGCCAACAGCCAGAAGTTTATCTCAAAACTTTTGGGGAAATGACTTGGCGCTTACCTAGACTTTGACACAGCGGAGCAGCAGTAAACTTCTTTTAATGTTTCCCCCAGAAAGTGAACCACAAGAAATGAGAAAGATAACAATGAGATGGGTCATTCCCAGAAGTTATGGTGCTGAGGCTGGTTTGTTTGTGTATTTGCATTAGTTTATTTTGCAAGGGAAAAAAATCAACAACAGTAGAGGGAAGTCCGTGCTTTAACAAGGGCAGGGAGAAGGCGTTGCATAAAGCTGTAAAGACTCAGTTTTGAAAGCGGGCTTGGAGTGGGCCTTATTTTGCTCCCACTGGAATCTGAGGAAGTTTTACTATTAACTTAGTAGGAATAAAGTGAGGCTGCTGCCCAGTACTTTTCTAAATCCCATTCTTTAGAAGTTAGAATATGTAAGAGATTAATTAAAAACAGGTTTAGGAGAGTTGGTAACATTCAAATAATGAACTGAGTCCTGCAAAACTCCCTTAAGTATATCAGCAAATGCTTGTGTAAAGTTTCAGGATTATAATCAAAACTGAAGGATCAGGGGCCCAATTTTGCATCCAGCAAAATCACACGAAATCACATTTTCCTTTTTTTTTTTGGTTGTTTTTCTTTTTTTTTTTTTCTTTTTTTTCTCTGAATTGCATTTCCCCTCTTGTAGATAGGAACTGAACAATGAACACTGTGGTATTGACATGCATTTCCCAGAAATGTGTAATGTAGCTGATAGCCGTGCCAAGATAAAACTGTTTAGGATTGAAGAATTCAGGCTGCTT